CAAGCATGGGCCCTGAGCTAGCAGCATTAGCCTGGCCTGATAACTAATTAGAAATGCACATTTCTGGCTGGCGTGGTGGCTTACGCCTGTAATCCTAGTACTTTGGGAGGCCAAGGTGGGAGAGTCACCTGAGATCAGGAGATCAAGACCAGCCTGGCCAACATGGTGAAACCCCATCTCTACTAAAAATACAAAAATTTAACTGGACATAGTGGCAGGTGCCTGTAATCCCAGCTACTCATGAGGCCAAGGCAGGAGAATCATTTGAAACTGGAGGCGGAGGTTGCAGTGAGCTCAGATTGCACTATTGCACTCCAGCTAGGGCAACAAGACCGAAACTCTGTCTCAAAGAAAAAAAAAAGAAAAGAAAAAGAAAAAGAAAAAAAGAGAAAAGAAATGCACATTTTTAGGCCCCATCTGTGATCCTCCATGAGATTCTCACATTTGCCAAACTTTGAGAACCACTACCCTAAGTGTAAGCTGTGGGTAGCAGCCTGGACCCCATATGTTGCTCACCCTCCATTCCCATGACTAGCAGAGTGCAGACTTGAAGAAGCGGCTCAAAAAGCCTTTGTTGAATGAATGAGTGACAGCACAGTTTGATGATATTCCTGTCAGGAGCTCCCACGTAGCTTGAAAACTAGATGAAACGAGCAAAACAAACCAAAAACCTCAAACTCAATTTTTACTTTATTTTTTCTGACCTTCTAAGGTTTATGCATAAAATACGAAAAGATGGTACATGAATAGAACAACTATTTCTCCATTTCTTCAATTTAGAATGTATGTAAACATACTTGTCAAGTGAACAAGTATCATTCTATCGTTTTCATTTTAGCACTGTAAAGTGAGCTGATCTAAGGCTATAGACTAACTCCATTTCCACAGAGGCAGATAGAATAGAATTCTATTGCCTCTTCTCCCACTTTTAAAATCCAGAATCACACTTTGAATAAGGATGTAGGGGAATACCTAAGCCAACTCTGTACCTTTACTGAGCCTCTGGAAAGAGGGCTGAAGAGATCGGGTCAAGATTCCACAAGGAGAAATGGGGAGTTAGAGCTGGAACCCAGCACCCCTAGCTAGGTTGGAAGATGAACCCAGTGTCGTGTGTCTAATGCCCATCAATCTTAATATCCGATGTGTTTATCCTCATAAAACACCAAGTGCCTTTGTGCTTCATTCTCACACATTTTCACAGTTCCCTTATCAATAAGTCACAAGGAAAGGTCAATAAAAGGTGAATTTCCTGATAACCACTTGGTCTGCTTTTGGATTGCCCCCTTCCTGGACAGTTCAGGAAGTGAGGGAGGTGGGGAGTCGTCACAGTGGTGACACAGCAGATGAGCTTGGGGTGGAGAAGGGAGTTACGTAGTCACTAAACCCCCCTTTCTGGATCCTGGGATGAAGAACCACAAAGCCAGGCACTCTTTCAGTCTCCCATCCCAGTGGCCTCTGCAACATTTTAATAAAGTGAGCGTTCTGAAAGTAGGAAAACTCGCAGTGACCACAGCAGAAGCAGCCGTGCCAGCTGACCCTCAAGCCTACCAGACATAGCCACCAGCCTGAGGATAGGTCCGGACACCCCTAAAGGCCAGCCCTGGGCTTTTCTTTGACTACCAGCTTGTCTTCCTAGGTATCTACTTTTTCTGAGATGTAACAAAATTTAGATGAACTCAGGCTCTGAGAGCAGATAGAACTGTGCTCAAATTCCAGGCTCAATATTCAGTCGCTGTGTGGCTGTGAGAAAATTACTAACTCTCTTCAAGACTCAGCTCACTCAGCTAGAAAATAGGGAGAAGAGGAATAACCACTTGCAGGGATTGTTAGAGGAATTTAATGAGCTAGTGTATGTCAGGGCTTAGCAATCTTAACTGCCAGTATCACTCCCCTCCTGCATTCACTAGGAGTTTCTATGCCTCCTTTGGAAACTATTTATTTGGGGCTGGAATACAGGAAGCCAGCACCTATCCAATGTCTGGCATGAGCCTGTACTGTAACACGTGCTTTATAATTGCAAACTTATTATCCACAACAATCCTGTGGGATAGCTATCATCATCATCATCATCGTCGTCATCATCATCACATCATCATCACATCATCACAGTCATTGGATGAGAAAACAAACCCAAAGCTTAAGTGACTTACGGAAAACAACTAGTAAGCAAAACCAATCAACAAGAAGCCAGGGATATAGCCCGTTGACTGTATCGGATCTCTTTCAAGGAGAAAAAACAGAGTGTTTTCCTTTCTTGAATATGCTACATGGCTTTCTGCCACTTGTTGTAGAGTGACAGCAGCAATGTTAGGGAGAGAGAAATTAAGGGGAAGTAACTTAATTTTGGAGTATAACTTTTCATGCTACAAAGATAGGCATGGATATACAAAGATAGGCATGCATATACCATAACTGCACTGGAAAATTCACTTACTATGCCATTGTAAAGTGAGAAACTTAGTGTGCTGCTTAACAACAGGGTAACTTGTGTTAGAAGTTTTAAATACATGTAGGTTTTCACCTAGCTTCTTTGCTCATAGTTCTGTCAATGCAAAATAATCAGACAAAGCATATTAAAAATGCTTGTGACAGTCTTGTCTATATTACCATAAGGAAAAAAAAAGAAACAACAGAAGTTTCCAACTCTGGAACTGATTAAAACAAATTCTGGACTACTACACAGTTATTAAAAATAATTTATCATTAAAAATGACATTGTAACTCAGATATTATTAAAGATATTTTAAATAAAACGTGAGGAAGTGGTTCATAAAGTGTGATAACATTTATAAAATTACATTTATAAAATGTGGATTTAAAATGATGACATTCTGGAAGAATCTGTGTTAACCTAGTGATTGTCCTTCAGTTGATAGAATTATAGAATATGCTTATTGTTTAATTTCTGCATATTTTTTTTTTTTTTTTGAAAAACAGTGTCGCCCAGGTTGGAGTGGTGTGACATGATTATTGATCCTGGTGCCCTGAACTTCTGAACTCAAATAATCCTCCTGCCTCAGCTTTCCTAGTAGGTGGGACCACAGGCATGCACCAACAGACCTGGCTGATTTATTTATTTATTTATTTAATTTTTTATAGGGGTGACATCTCGCTTTGTTGCCCAGGCTGGTCTCTAGCTCCTCAAGTAATCCTCCCACTTTGACCTCCCAAAGAACTAGGGTTACAGGCATGAGCCACCACACCTGTCTATTATCCGTATTTCTAAGAAGTTTTTTTGAGAAATACATCTTTCTTTCCTTTTCTTTCTTTTTCTTTTTTCTTTCTTTCTTTTTTTTTGTTTCTTTCTCCTTCCTTCCTTCCTTCCTTCCTTCCTTTTATTTAGACAAAGTTTCACTCATCATCCAGGCAGGAGTACAGTGGCACAATCTCAGTTTACTGCAACCTCTGTCTCCTGGGTTCAAGTGATTCTCCTGCCTCAACCTCCCAAGTAGCTGAAATTATAAGCACGGGCCACCATCCCCAGCTAATTTTGTACTTTAGTAGAGACAGGGTTTCACCATGTTGGTCAGGCAGGTTTCAAACTCCTGACCTCATGTGATCCACCCTCCGTGGCCTCCCAAAGTGCTGGGATGACATGTGTGAGCCACCGTGTCTGGCTGTGTTACTTTTATAATAAGAAAACCGTAATCTTTAGAAAAATCATCACTCATATATTATACCAAATACGTGCTCTCCAGTTAAACTTCCTTTTTTCTTGCCATTATCTGTGTCACCTAAGAAAATCCAAGTAACACTTTATAAACCACAGTGCCCTTGTTTAAGGTCAAGCTGTTTTCTAAGAATTCTGTACCTAAAGACCCATTCTGGAAATGCAGAGGGATTTCTCAGTCCTGCTCACACCTGGGCCTGGGACTGCCTTCTGCAGGTGTTGCCGCACACAGGGTCATGTCCTAACGTTTCCTCCACCACTGCACACTCCCATTCTTAAGACTCTGTGACTCGCACCCCATTGCTCTTTTACCTCTCTCCCCCATGACAACATCATGCTCTCTCACCTCTACTCTTTCCCTATCCTAACTCAAGGTGCTTTCAGACAATACACAGTCACATCAACACACATCACTGAATGACCCTTTTGTTCTCCCTGTTCCAGTGTCTGCAATGCACTCCAGCCTCCCATTGTGTGAGCATAGGAGCCATCGTCTCAACTCCTGTCTTCTCACTGGGGGCTGACAAAAGGAAGGTATCCTCTTCGTAATAAGAGAAGGGATAACAAATTTCCAGTCTTCTGGGGATCAGGGAATAGGGGACAAAGATAGAAAATTGGCTCTCTTCTAGACCACATATATTTTGGAAGCCCACCCACCGCCCCCCTTTTTTTTTTGCAAGGAAATAATGGAAAATTGTGAAGCAGTCTATTACTGCTGTAGTTCAGCTATGTTCTAGGTTAAATTCGTACTGGGAACCCACTCATCGTTTTAAATATGCTTCAAAAAATGACTTCCCATTAACTTTGGGTATACAATCTGTCCCTAAGGTTTAGACTATTTGGGCTTTGTTTGCTTCTCCTAATTAACATTTTAAAAATGTATTTTCAAACAGAAGAGGTTCTTTTATAAAATCTCCCGTGTTATCAAAATGGCAATCACCATCAGCAACGTTTCCCAGCCTTCGCCACTGGAGTCCTTTCCTGGGAGTCAAAGAGCTCCTAAGAGGAAGCTTGACTAGACTACTGGGGTTGGCATCCAGCTATCATAAGAGGCAAAGACAAAGAATGCACATTTTCTTTCTGTAAGGTAGTGCTCTTCCTCTATTCTGAAGGCTAGAATCAAAAAAAGGAACTCCAGAAGCCACGTCTCTCAATTGGCATGAAAAAGACTCAGCAGCTTCCTCAGCCCAAGGAACAATGAGTAGCCGAGCAAAATCCCAAAGGCTCGTAGGACCTAGCTGTGAAGCACCCTCAACCCTGTCTGTTCTGTGGAGAGAGGAGTAGCACGTTTGCCAGGAGACCGGGGAGAGTAATAAAATCTATTACTTACCATTTTGATTGAAAAGAGTTGATGTGTCGGACACAAAATGACCCCGAAGACGGTGTGGCTTGGAGAGTGAATGTGCAAGTTAGCTATGCAGAGTGTACTTCCTTTTCTGAGCTGTGTGGTCTATGCAGCTTTCACACACTGATATGTGAGGCTATATTTGCATGTTATCTCAACCCTTAGAGCATTTGTATAGCTGGCCAGGTTTATCATGTTACTGTTTTTTAATAATACAGAAACAGGTATAGGTTTTCAAGTCTGAAAAATTGATACGAAATTTTTAGAAGTGCCTAGATATTAAATTTTGTTACACATTATTGATCTGTTTTTATAACCTCTGTATTTTTGAATAAATATGTGTATATATGTGTGTGCATGTCTGTCTCTCCATCTCTCTATGAAGGACTCACACCAAAATTAATAGTGTTTGATGTGAGTGGATATATTATTACAAATAATTCCTTTTTTGTATCTTTTGGAGTTTTTCAAGTTTTCTATCTTGGGTGTATAGCACTTGTGTAAAAACATAACTGTAGTCATTATTAAAAAGAACAAAAGTATCATGATAATTTTAATGAACAACTCCAATTGTGTTTAAATTCATATTACCAGTATTTAAATGATGGAAACACTCATAAGCTTATCATAGAATATCATTCATTTCCATAAAAAAAAGTGCAGCTCAATCTAGGTTCATGTGCTAATTTTGGGGTTAACATTTGTTAGGATCAGACATTAAGGGCAAAGGATTTGATCTCAATTAGTCAGACTTTCCAATCATCCATGTACCTCTCTAAACACATTCTGATATATCGCCTTTTACTAAAGTAGTTCAAGGGTGGAAGGTCATCTTTGTTTTCCATGGCGAAGGAAAGACAGGATTCCTTTTTTGGTGGTTGCAAATTTCCAGATCTTGTTTTAAGTATTACAGTGCTTATTTAGTGTAAGGTCACCAAATTTCTACACTTGATGCTGATCAAACACTAATTACTCCTACATCCATACAAAATCCCATTTCAAAAAAGATGTTACCTGTTATTTATTCCTCAAAATAAAAATGTTTTCAAAATTAAGATATAATCAGAAATCCAGACTCACACGACAGGAGAAAAGCCAGGGCAGAGATTGAGTTCCAGAGGTAGAAACTGGTACTGTCCTGAAAACTTTACATATTATAAAGAGGGGTTTGAGGCATGGTCAGAATCTGGGTGGATGGTCAGGAATCTGAAGTTGCAAAGTATCTTACACATAATAAATGCTTAATGAATAAATAGAGGAGGAAGATCAAAGCAAGACTGATGTATGGGAGCCAGGCATCTTTTTTGGTATAACACATTTTCCAGAATGCTTTGAAATGGAGACATTCTTTACCTGCACTAGAAAGCCTCTAATCTACTGTCTGTTGGAATAGAGATCATCATAGTGCAGATACAGCTTAGGGTAAAGAGGACCACTCTAAAGCAATGGTTCTCAACCTGGCTGCACATTAAAATCACCTGGGGTGTTTTAAATAGTCTCAGCTCCCAGGCCTCACCCCAGGTTATTATATGAACATCTCTGGGACTGAAACCCAGGCACTGGTGTATTTCAAAGCTCCCCAGGTGACTCCAATGTACGTGCAAGTTTGAGAGCCTTTGCCTAAAAGAAGGAGCAGGTGACTCTTACTAGCAAGATAGTGAACAGATCCCCAGGCGAGCCTTATGGGTAGAAATAATCCTGACACTCTGACACTGTTTACCACTAAGTTAATTAACATATTTTCCCTATGTGCTACATAAGAATTGCTTAAACTTTGTCATTCTATGATTTGCCCTCTATGCCAGTAAGTTGGACACAAATGATAAACAGGAATCCAGCAGTTATTCAGTTAATGGTGTAATTTATTGGGTAAGTCTCTGGTTAGGAGAATTTTGAAATTCATTTCATCCATCTGAATTCCATTTCAATTTGGGCTTATTTCCAAATGCAGATTAAGGTAATTTTTAGTTGTTATTGGAATAAATATAGTGGTCTTTCAAACACACATATATAAGAAAAGTATTATTTTCAACCCCACTCTCATGGGGTTACTTATTGCTTTTGCCATAAGAAAAAAAAAAAAAAAGAGTTGAAGCTCCCAACTATAACTTGCAGTCTACAAGTATATTTTCATATTTAGTTTTTAAAGCATAATCATGTTACTTTAAAAACATATGTCAAACCTCACATATGTGAGTATATCTCCTGTGAAGGTAAACGTCAGTATGTAAGCTCCTGAGCAGGAAGATAAAACAGAAAATGCAACAAAAATGACAGACAGCATAGTGATACCATCTAAAAATGATAAACCTATATTTTCGCAGGGTGGGCATGGCAATTATTCCTGCTAGTAGAAGGGAGGAGTAACTTAGACAATGCAAAAGTGATTATAATTCTTTAAATACTTGGGCATATACTCTTTTTTTCATAAGTTTTTATTCTGAAAAACAGTTTTTGTTCAGGCAGTGGTGCAATCAATGAGTCTGCCCCTTCAGTACTCACTGAAGGCAGTGGCTAGGTGGAGTCTGTGAGGTCTAGAAGCATGGGGTGGCTAGGGAAAACCAGCTTTGTTTTTTAAAGTCAGCTTGCAAGTAGATAAAGGAGAGAGCACTAATAAAATCTGAGTAATACTAATGATTATTACTGAAATGCATTGTCAGTGTTTTATCCATTAGGCTTTTTTTTTTTTTTTTTTTTTTTTTTTTTTTGAGGTAGAGTCTTGCTCTGTCCCCCAGGCTGGAGTGCAGTGGCGCCATCTCAGCTCACGGCAACCTCTGCCTCCTGGGTTCAAGCAATTCTCTTGCTTCAGCCTCCCGAGTAGCTGAGACTATAGGCACTTGCCACCACACCTGGTTTTTGTATTTTTAGTAGAGACAGGGTTTCATCATCTTGGCGAGGCTGGTCTTGAAATCCTGACCTCATGATCCATCCACTTTGGCCTCCCAAAATGCTGGGATTACAGGTATTAGGCCTTAAAAGAAATATGGTTAATTGTTAGCATAGAAGGTTAGAAATAGTTATAAACTCCTGTGATACATTTTAATTTATTTTAATTTTTATAACCTAAATGTCTAACATTTTAGAGAAGAAACAAATAGTCATCGACTCTGTGTGCCCAACAGTAATGCGCCTGGCTAAGACCCCTGAGATAGAACAGAGTGATGTTGAATCTCACCTTTTCCAAAAAGGCTTCTCTGCTGCCAGCTCACTGATGTCCTCCTTTTTCTGGAAGCCTGCAGGCTACACTACAAAACCAAGCTCTTAATATATTTGCCTTTTATGGTTCTCTAATTGCATTGTGTGTATTAGGTTTGGCTCCCCAACTAGATTGGAAACTGCCCCAATGAGAATTAATTTTCATACTTTCTTTTCTCACTCTAAGATCTTATGTCAGCTAATTTTAAATACTTTTTTTTGGTCTCATGAATTCCTTTCAGAATCTGATGAAAGCAATGTACATTTTATACACCAGTTTTGCATGTGTACAATCTTCCTTGAAATTCATCATTTATGGGAAGCTATAAGAGAGCCTTTGGCTAAAATATTGCCAAACACTGAGAGATGATCATTACCATGCTGCTCTTTGATCATGAAATTAAAGCAAACTCACAAGTAGATTCATAAAAATTCAAGGAAATTCAGTCTCCCTGTTTGGCTGGATATGAAATAGCAAATGGGAAGTAGCAGGAGAAAGCAGAATAAGAACACACGTACTTAAGGAGGCTATGCAGGAGGAAGTGGGCACTTCCTTGATTTGGGTTATTTCTCTTTCACTTTTTGTTTAAAAAACAAAGTGAACTTTTTCACTCCTGTACTTTCTACTTTTAATGAAAGGGGATCTTAACTCTTTCAGAACATCAGTGCTCTGAAAGAAATAGCTTATTAATCAACTTACTTTTGGCTAAAAGGAGAGTTCCCACCACATTCTAATGGAATGAGAAAATTGTATTGAAACTCAAGAAAAGAAGGGAGCATTTGTCTTTACAATTTAAACCCAATTCCAGGTGAATGTTTACTACTCTAAAAATAATCTGCTAAAATAGGACAATGAAAAATTTAATCTAGACTTCATGTAAGGAGTTTTTATCAAACCAATCAACTTGGAGAGCAAAGAGACAAATAATAACACCTATAGAAAAATTCTAGGTAGTATATTACCTTGCTTTTTGTTTTTTGTAATTTTGTCCATTTTTTGTATCATACCCTCTCTTTGGGTTTTTAGGGGACGCGTGAGCTCTGTGGGTCTGTTGGGTTCTGCTGTTTTCTTCTCATGACTTCCCATCTCTTTTGTCCTTGCATATGTTTCACAGAAGCAGAATCTAAGTCATAGTCTTTTCGCTTCAATGAGTCTCAGAGACAAGTTTTAACTAACGCACACTCTCATGGGGTTGCTTATTGCTTTTGCTGTTTTGTTAATGATAATTTGCTCTTTAATGAATAAAATTAAAGTCCTACATGAAAAGTGGATCTATTTTTCTTTTTCTTCCTTTTTTTCCTTTCTTTCTTTTGTTCATTCTTTCTCTCCTTCTTTCCTTCTTTTCTTCCCTTCCCTCCTTCCCTTCCTTCCTTCCTTTCCTCCCTCTCTCCTTCTCTTTTCTTTTTTCTTTCTTTCATTCATTCTTTCTCTCTCTCTTTCTTTCTTAATGGGCCATTTGCTGCTCTTAGCATGATGGTAGGTAATGGGCATGAAGTAGAGGTGGAAGAACAAAGGCTAGGAGCCAAATACCTGTCACAAGACGGATATTTGACTGTCCCGTGAATTATGTGTGTGTATGTAAGAATTGCTTTATTAAGGAAAAATACAGAGCTAGCCTTTGATCAGCTCTCATGAGGATTGACTCATCTATCACAAGGACAGCATGCGGGAACTGCCCCTATGATCCAATCACATCCCACCAAGTCCCTCCCTCAACACATGGGGATTACAATTTGAGATGATGTTTGGGTGGTGACACAGAGCCAGACCATGTCATCTACCATTTTGGGCTGTTTTCATAAGTAACTATTGGGAGACTAATATAGGAGATGCTACTATTGGGTCCCACTACACAATCAAAAGGCCTTGCAGGAGAGACAATTGTGTAGAGCCAGGGTGAGAATGCTGACCCACACTTTGAACATTAGACAACAGGTGTATGTTCACTGTCTACTCTGTGATCAGTAGAATGAATAAGTGACTTGAATTTTGAGTATAAAAAGGGAAAAATGTAAAAAATGTAGCAAGACTCCAATCTTCCTGTATCCATCAGGCTCTGAACATAATACACATCCTACTTCTCCAACTTCTTTTGATACTGGCTTCTTTTGATAGTGATTTAGCATAATGGTTCAACTTACTGGCCCGGACTTCATAAGGATGTTGTCTCCACCTGTCCCTTTCCTTGAATTTGGTGGTGCACCCCCTCAGACAGCATGTGGGGTAGGGGCCACCTATAATGTACTCCATCGGGGTGGACTAAGCTACATCACTTTCTCCAATCAACAGTCCATGCTGACCCATGTTAGGCATGGTAGGGCCTCATCTCTCCCAATTTCTGGAGATTCTCCTTCAGTTTAGGCCAGGAGACTTTCTGCGCCACGTTGATTACTGTTGAGCAGTTTCTGGTGTCTCAATGGTGCTCCCTGCTGGAGAAGCTCTGTCATCAGATATACCACCTGTGGCAAGACGTTGGCCGACTCTCCAACAAGTGTGAACCTGGGCTATTCCTGCTATTCATTACTCTAGAAAGGACTCTGACAAATCATTAAGCTAGCCCTAGAGCAGGCATCCCCAAACTTTTTACGCAGGGGGCCAGTTCACTGTCCCTCAGACCGTTGGAGGGCCGCCACATACTGTGCTCCTCTCACTGACCACCAATGAAAGAGGTGCCCCTTCCTGAAGTGTGGCGGGGGGGCCGGATAAACGGCCTCAGGGGGCCGCATGCAGCGCGGGCCGTAGTTTGGGGAGGCCTGGCCTAGAGGGTCTGGTCAAGGCTCAGCTCTTTTATTGTTTGACATTTGTACTTCCCAAGGGTGGAAGGAATTCTCAGGTGTTACTCTAATAACAGTCTTGAGCCAGATGCTCTCCATCAAAAACTCACACTCTCAGTAGTAGATTGTTCAAGAACAGAGTTCAGCATTTATACACATATGACAAATCTTCTAATTCACACAGTGTTTTGAAGGGCAGGGGCCAGGCCTTTTCTTGAGCTCCCAGGGCAAATGTAAGATTCTTAAGGGCCACGGCCTGTTTATTAGCCTGATCTCCATATCATACCTAACGTTAAAATGCATTCCACATCCAGTAATCTTTTTCTTTGCTATTTAAAAACAATGTTGAAAATTGCTTTTAAAATGCTGCTTTTGAAATTATTTGCACGTAGGTAATTTAGTCGGTGTTATCTCCCATCAATCAAATGAATTCTTGATAATTTCTGCTAAGTGTGAAAAAGTTACAAAATTTATTTATAAATTTGTGAAATGTTTATTAATACTAACAATAAAGTTAACATGATACATGTTCATGTTTAATTAAATGTTTATTAATTTTGCTTTTGCATTTTTTTTTGTATTTTGATATACTCTTTCTTTTTCTTTCTTTCTTTTTTTTTGAGATGGAGTTTCGCTCTTGTTACCCAGGCTGGAGTGCAATGGCACCATCTCAGCTCATCGCAACCTCCGCCTCCTGGGTTCAGGCAATTCTCCTGCCTCGGCCTCCTGAGTAGCTGGGATTACAGGCACGCGCCACCATGCCCAGGTAATTTTTTGTATTTTTAGTAGAGACGGGGTTTCACCATGTAGACCAGGATGGTCTCGATCTCTTGACCTCGTGATCCACCCGCCTCGGCCTCCCAAAGTGCTGGGATTACAGGCTTGAGCCACCGCGCCCAGCCCTCTTTCTTTTTCTTTCTTTCTTTCAAGAGTTCTCAGACCTTTTCAAAAGATCTCAGACCCTAAGTACCATGTTCTCTAATGGATAAGATTGCATAGCCAAAGTTAATCAGCTTCTCAGGTAGGTGACCTTACCTTATACAATTCATAAGCTAGGTATTAAATTGGACCATACAAAATTGATGTTTTTTTCCTTGTAAAATATGATCAAATCGAGGTAATTTCACATAATTTAATAGTTTATAGTCACTCAGTTGTGCTACTGAGCAGTATATATATTGTTCCTTTCATCTAACTAGATTTTTGCCATCTCTCGTCTTTCCCTCCCTTCCCCACTATGCTTTTAGCCTCTGGTAACTATCATTCTACTCTCCATCTCCCTGAGTTCAACATTTTTTAGTAAACTAGTAGTTTTTCGTTACAAATATAACACACTTCCCTTTTGACATATAGATTTAAATGGTAGCGCTAAGACTAGTAAAAGCAACTGCTGTGCAGGTGGCTGGTTCTCAGTATTTGTTGAATACATGTATGCACACATAAGCAAATAACCAAACCAAACATAAAGATGTAAATAAAAGTTAAATTGCGTGGTACAGACATGTGGTTATGGACCTGGCAGAATATGTTAACCATAAAAAGCAGTTTGACAATGACTTTGAAGTCTTTTAAACCAATATTCTGTTTTCAATTTAATTTTGTTTTGTTAGAAGAGGTTGGCATTGCCTGTGGGAGAAAGCAGTTCTGGCATATTTCACTATTGACTCCTCATTAGGGAATAAAAAAATGGAAAATCATAGGATTTTAAAGAAGAAAAATTAAAAAAAAATTATAGACCTAAGAAAGTGGAGATTTCAGAGATTGGTAGGATTTTCATGAAGCCTGTTGCTATTTACTTGCCACAAAGACTATCTTCGGGGGCAGGATTTGAAATTGGAAGGTCCTGGTGTTCTTGTCTTCCACTGGAGCTGAGAGAAGCCAACAGCTCTATTCTTTCTGAGGGAAGGCTAGGGCTGGCAATTCTAGAGAAAACAAATGAGTATCAAATATTAATCATCAATAAGATTTAACTTTGGGTACATCACCCATCACCCGTCTACACATTCACCCTCTTATCCTGTTGCACCACGCTGTGCCATACTGTCTAGGTGCTGGGAATGGAATGTGGTTTAAGATTCAAGGCACATTTTCATACTTAGAAAGGGCTATTTATCTTGTCTACAGAGAGTCAATGAGATTAGTGCTGGGAAAACGGAGGGAAAGTTCTCAGGGAGCATAGATAGATAACTGATTCCTGAAGAAATTGGAGAAAGTTTCATCAAAGAGATGCTAACTGGCCTGGGTTCAAAATAGAGGTGTTTAACCCTGGCTAAAGATGAGAATAAACAGTAGATGTTTTAAAAATCCAAAAAACAAAAAATCCCATGCCCAGGCAGGATCAACCATAGCTGTTTTGGTTTAATTGGCTTAGGATAACCATCTGTTTTGTTTGTTTCTTTTCTTTTCCAGATAAATCCAATGATCAACCTGGTTAAGAATCATTGATCTAGGAGTAGAAACACACACAAGGAATAAGGGAGGAGGTTCAGTTAGTTCAAGGGGAGAAAGTTGGAAGCATTTCAAGCAAAGTAAATGGTATAGAAAAAGAAAGATGATGTGTTACAGTTTTCAATCTTATCATGCGGGTAGGCTCAGTGTTAATTGGAAACTTGTATGGCAAAATGGATGCTTGAATGATCTAACTTGAGGGAATAATTCGGCAATAAAATAACGTCTAATATCTCAGCAAGAAGCTGGTGGACCATCCTGGGTCAGGTTTGAAAAGTCAACCAAAAAATGCCTAGTGATCTAAGATAATTTTATACATTGGGGAAGGGACCTTGATATTCATTATCTATGAAACACAAAATCTGGAACTTGAACCAAGAAATTTACATAAAAATCTGATGCAAGACTGATGAAAATGATAGGCCCTCCTAAGAAGCAAACTAACCCTAGGAATATGTTCAGTATCCAGGGAAGATAGGGTTTCCACAGGAAATAATTCCCACCAAAACTAAACCTGAAATTTAAAAAAGCGCTAAGAAAGAATAATGTACCATGAGAATGAATTGGTAGACTTAGCAGAGAATTGCACTGCAGAAACGATTTCTACTGGAACAATCTGAAAGAATTCCATGAAGAGATAAAGGTAGGAAAATAATCCAGTACACTAGACAAGAGAAAAAACAGACTTGAAAAATAACCAAATCAAAATTTTAGAAAAATACTTTTAAAATAATCTCAGTAGATCAGCAAATGGATAAACTACACATGGTTGAATAAAAGAATTGGAGAATTAGAACATAGAACTGAAGAAATCATAGAGAAATCAGCAGAATATTCTACATAGTGAGAAATAGGTAGAAAACAGAAGTTCTAAGTACGAAGTAGTATAAATTTTTGGAGAGCGCAAATGTTTTTTGGAATACAAAGCACTAGATTAAGACTTTAGACAGATGAAAGACAGAGTTAGCATACATTTAGATATCAATTATGCTAAAATTGAAATTCTAACTTACATGTTTTGTCACCATATCATTGAGTTTCTAAGTCATTTGTTAAGAAGTGTAAAAAAATCTTAAAATATCAAAAATTTGTATTGTAAGAGATGAAACTATGTTTGAAAGATAAACAAGGCTGTAAATCTTTAGGAAACTACAGCAGTGTTTTAGAATTTTATTGCAGGAAACTGTATTTGTCCAATCAAACAATGAGTGTCATAGAAAGTTAATCTTACTAGCTAATCTTGTGATATTAATACTTGGACTAAGATCTCACTTATCTATTAGGAGTCTGAATAATTCTACCAGACTGAAAGGCTAAGCAGAAACTCTTAGTATTAGAAACATGGCTGAAGTCATGTTTACTAGTAAGGAATAAAATCGTTTAATCAAGTCCTATTCATCTATTTTTGTTTTTATTGCATTTGCTTTTGAGGTCTTACTTATAAATTATTTGTCTAGGCCAAATCCAGAAGGGTTTTTCCTAGATTTTCCTCTAAGATTTCTATAGTTCCAGGTTTTACATTTAAGTCTTTAATCTATCTCAAGTTAATTTATTATATGGTAAGAGAATAGAGATGATTTCTTAAAGAATTAAAAATAGGACTACCACTCAACAGTCTCACTACTGGGTATCTACCCAGAGGAAAATAACTTTTTATATGAAAAAGACACTGCACACATGTTTATGGCAGCACTATACGAGAGCAAAGTCGTGGAATCAACTTTCATGTCCATCAATGATAATTGGATAAAGAAAATGTAGTATATATAGACCATAGAATATTATTCAGCCATACAAGAGAAAAATGAAATCATGTCTTTTGGAGCAAGATGGAGGGAGCTGGAGGTCATCATCCTAAGTGAAATAACTCAGAAACAGAAAATTAAATAGTTCTCACTTATAAGTGGGAGCTAAACAATGGGTATGTATGGAGATAAAGATGAAAATAATAGAAAGTAGGGACTCCAAAAATGGTGAAGATGGGGAGGGATGAGGGCTAAAAAATTACCTATTCAGTACAGTGTTCACTATTTGGGTGATGGGTACCCCAGAGGCCCAAAGCTTACCATTATACAATATGTCCATGTAATAAACCTTCACATGTACCCCCAAATTCATAATAAAAAGTATTTTTTAAAATGTAAAATAACGTGTTTCCTTATGATTAACTTTAGAATGCAATACAGAATCTCAGTTTTTAAAAACACTAATACAGTTAAAAATGTAAAATAAAATTCTAGTAACTCATTTATGTAAAATTTAAAAACATATGAAACATCACATATTTTTCACTGGTACATACAGATTTAGTACAAGCACAAAAATATGAACTAGAAAGATACATACCAATTTAATGAAAGTGATTGTATCTGAGTAGTAGAAGAGAGAAAAGGCAATAGAACTTTTTTGAGGGGAGGGGATGTGGTATAAAGTAATTCATTGGATATATTATTGCTTTTTCTTTAAAAAGGGTTTTGAAGTATATACGTCTATGTCTACACACATGAATGCATAGTATGCACAGTATATAATATATACATTTATAAAAAGTATATATGATATATATGTATTACCATTCATCAATTCTAGATAGTGAACAACTGAATATTTGTTATATTTCTCTAAACTTTCCATAGGAATATTTTTATACTTAAAGAGTAATACAATAATTATAATGTATTACTTATTTATAATTCTATTTTAATATATACAAGAAGATGTTAAAATAACACATAAATGCTGATTTACCCATTTTCACTATTCACTCAATCTTTATCCTCTGTTTACATAAATAACCTAGAAATTTAGTACAAATTCATTCAAGAGCAAGTTTTCAAATTAAATAACCCCAGAGTACACATTTTTGTCTTTAATTGTATAAAATAAATCATCCTCACCTTCAGGAATTTTTTGTTTACTGATTTCACAGGCAGTTCCCTCAAATTTGAATGGGCAGGTACATACACACTTTCCATCAATTAGAATCACTGTACCTCCATTTTGGCATGAGTGGCATTTTCTTGCACTAAATTCATCGATATAGTCTTCAATAGCTCTTTCTAAGTTTTGTTTCTTTACGTGTGCATTATTCATTTTCACTGGAATCAGATTATATATAGGAGACAGCTGAAAGGAAGAAAAACATTTAATTTTAGGTCATTTTTAACTGAAAGAGCTTATAGAATACTCTTTACTCAATTATTTATTCACTGATTCATGAATTCAACAAAAGCTTATTGAATGTATATTATTGCCAGATGTGATGTTAGCTTTTAAATAATCAGAACTAGTCAAGATGTTCACTATCAGGGAGGTCATATTACGGAGCTAAGGAACTGATAGTAATAAAATAATCATGCATACATTTCAGATAGAAACTGTGATACGTGCTACAGAAAACAGGTATATATGCTTTAAAAATGAATAACTGAAGGACTTAAATTTCTGGATGGACAATTTACTGACATATTATTTTGTGAATTGTTTTTGCTGCCTTCTTCCTTCTTCTCCTCTTTTTTCTATGATCATCAAGCCACACAATAGATCTTCTGAACTTACTCCTTCTGTCTAACTAAAAGATGATGTCTACTATCTCTTGTGTAAGAGGAGGTTTGTGTGCAGCCCAAGTTCCGAATGTCCCCTGAAGGCAACCTTTTTCTTATTTCTTCCTTTCCCCCCCACCAAAAGTCTGAATTCATTGAGAAATTTTTGCTGAGGTAAGGCGCATAGAAGAATGTCACCAAGAAAAGAGATTCCTCCAGAATAGAAAGGGGATTGAGGTTAGTATACACCTCAAGTAACAGGAAACCACAGCTAGATATTTAGCAGCTATTTTGGGAGGTAGCAGGACCTCTGGGGTGCCTTAAGGAAGCTGCCTATGAAGCATCAGGAGTTCAGTTTTGTCAGTGATTTCCTTTTACAAACCTGGCATTGAGGGCTTGGAAATGTTTGAGTTCTAGTGAACATGTGAGCCTAAACAATGAGGTTATTAAGGTGACTACAATGAACTAAAGATATATGTAAATTATTTCTCTGTTTCGTGGACAGAAGTGTCAGGATTTTTGTACCAATTTAGACAACAGGGAAAAAATTTCCTGATCCCCATCCAGCAAACAAATAAAAGGTGAATTTTCTAGCAACATGGAGGGACAGGATCTCAAAATAGAATTTAATTAAATATAAAGAAAATGAAGTAAAGTTACTTATTTTGCATTCTCAAATTCCTGCAGTAAGATACACATTTGCTTCACTGAAGTCAAGGAAGTTTGGAAAGGCTTTGACAATAAATACTGAGCTGCGGTTTGAAGGTGTCATGGCAGAGAGAAGACTATTCCAGGCATATAGAGAAGAATTTTAAAAGCTTTTAAATAGAGGAGAGGATTGGGGAGATGCTGCTCAAAATATTCAAAATTTTAGTTAGACAGAGGAGTAAGTTCAGAAGATCTATTGTATAGCTTGATAATCATAGAAAAAAATTAAGAGGTTCTTATAGTGGAGATACCATAACATATATAGGGAAATTTATATCTTCACTTAATTAAAGCAAATTCAATTATGCAACTAGCAAGAGCTTTTTGAGTGAATAAACTGTTAGAAACAGAGGTACTTTGGTGGCATAGCACTTTAAAACAATAGACCACAAAACTTAAAAGAAATGAGAATCTAGAGAGCGGAGCTAAACACACATACACACACAAATTCCTGCAGAAGAGTAATGATGGATTAAATAATGGGGACTAATCTTTTACCTAAAGACAATGAGAAAAGCTGAACAAAAGAAAACGAAACATTTTTAAAAACTGCTAAAAGGCCCTGGAGAACTAACAAGAAAATAAAAAATTACTGAGCTACTATCTGGGAGGAGGTGGTAATCCAAGAGGTGGGCCCTATTTGAGGGCTACCAGTCCTCTTGACACATTTCCTAATTCAGCAAGAGGTAACAGAAGGACTAGGAGGTAGAGCAACACATTATTGGGCTGAAGAGAAAACACTGGAATTCAGGTCAACCAAGGCAGACATGCTATCCTTTGATTTGGGGACTAAGAAGGAAGTGGAAGAAGGAGAGCCCTGGTAGATACCATAGCTCAGTTTGGATTAAAATAATCTTGGCTCATTAGTGGGTATCCTAGAAGCTTTCCAAATATAAATATAGTTTTTGGAGGAATATATGAATACATGAAATTATCTCAGACATCAAGCTACTCCTATAACAATTTTAAGTACAGTATCTAGCTCACAGTAAAAATAACTAGGCACACAAGGAAATAAGACAACATGAATGAGACCAATGGAAATAATGGAAAATAGAAACAGCTATGGTGGCTGCCAGTTTGTGTTATCAGACTTTAAATAATTATCAGACTTTAACTGTTTGCATAGGCAGGGAGATAAGAGACAAGAATGAAAATTTTAGCAAAGAACTGGAAATTATTAAAAAGAGATTTGAAAAAAGAAACAAATGTTAGAACATAAATTAATGAATTAGTTAAATAGCAAATGTAATACTAAAGCAGTTTAATAAACTGGAATATAGGTTAGAAGAGAATATTGACAATAAAGCATGAAGAGACAAAAGGATGAGTTATACAGAAAGAGGGCAGGAAACATAAGTGTTACTGTGGGAAGGAAAAAGATCCATGTATTTCAAGCTCAAGAAAGAGAACAAAGGACAGAATACCAAAGAAGCAATATTTGAAAAGCTAATGACAGAGAATATCCAGAGCTGGCAAAAACCATCAAGATATTTTATGAATAAAAACTAAGTTTAAAAATAATTTTGCACCTACGTATTATCAGAGAAAAATTGCTCAAAAAAGAAAGATAATGGAGAAAATATTAGAAACAGTTTAGGAAAAAGCATTAGTATTTTGAAATTAGATTGAATTTACTAGATATAATCAATAATTTGACTTTACTAGATACAATCAATAATATAAAAAGAGTCAAATGGAAATGTAAAAACTAAAAAGCATGTTAAAAGGGATGAAGAATATATTTGATGAGTTTTTCAGCAGATTTGACACAGCAAAAGAAAGAATCAGTAAGCCTGATAAAAGGTTGGTAGAAATTAGCCAAATTAAAATACAGAGCGATAAAAGGGTTGGGGGGAGGGAACCCAGAACTGAGCATCCAAGAGTGTGGGGGAAATATGAAAGAGTATAGCACATATATTATTTGAATAATAGAAAAAAGTGAGGAGGTTAGAAGAAGGGGTTGAGAGAGGAGAAAGATAATATGATTGTGGTAGAAGAAATATTTGAAGACATAATGACAAAAAATTTTTCAAAATAATTAAATAATCAAATCATAGACTCCAGAAGTTTAGGGAACTTCAAGCAGAATAAAAAATGAACAAATATCCATATATATCCCATTCAAACTGTGGAAAACCAAAGATTAGAAGGAAATCTTTAAGGTAATGACAATAAAAGGAAATGTTACAAACAGAAGGTGAAAGATAAGTGTTACAGCGCTGTTTATCTAAAAACTATGTAAGCAGAAGACAAGGATTAATATCTTTAAGTACAGAAAGACAAAAAAAACAAAACAAAAAAGACCTATAAAACCTGTAAACCCAGAATTTTATACCAAATGAAATGTCACTGAAAATTAAAATAATTTTTTTTTTCCAGAGAAGCAAAAGCCAAGAGAATTTGATACTAGCAGATGTGCACTAAAAGAATTGCCAAAGGAAATTTTTCAGGCAGAACAATTATCACAAAGAACTGAAATTTGACCTATAAAGTAATCATGAGCTCTAAGCATAACTAAATTAAGGAAAACTAGACCTTTCTAGTTTTAATTGCTCTAACAATATATTAATCTACAGCAAATGTTGTTGAATTGTAGTATGAGTTTATAGTGTACGTAAAAATAAAAAATAAAAGATATAGTAATCTATGTAAAACATACACCATAAACTCATGATACAATATGTTGAAAATGGCATTAAAAATGGGAGGGAGGATTTGGAAATACAGTGTTATATTTGTTTTACACTATTACATAAAGCAGAATAATATTATTTGAAGGCAGACTATGATAAATTAAGAATGTATATTGTGAAACATGTCCTACAGCAAAAAATATTTTTAAAAAGAGGCATGAGTATTATGCTGGACATAAAGTGGAATCATATAACATACTTAATAAAAAAGAATGGTCAGGACAAGAAAAGAACAATGTAATGAATAAACAAGATTTAACTGAAATGTTGAAGGGAGAGTGCTGGAGTGCAGGGGTAAAGCAGAAAGGCATCTGAGTGGTTGGAAGTCCAGCAGCTCTCACATGCCCAGATCACTACAGAAAACTATTCAACTGCAAAAATAAACAACAAGGGAGGAAATAAGACACAAAAGTTATTCAAGATTACCAAAAAAAAATCAATAAAAAGACAGTGGTAAGTCCTCACTATCAATAATAACTTTGAATGTAAATGAATTAAATTCCCCATTTAAGAGATATAGATTGGATAAATTTTTAAAAAAGAAATAATACCCAACTATATGCTCCCTATAAAAAACTCACTTCACCTGTAAAGATACATATAGATGAAATGTGAAGGATGGAAAAAGATATTTCATGCAAAGGTAAACCAAAAGCAAGCAAGAATAGCTATGCTTAGAAAAAGCAGACTTCAAGTCAAAACTTGTAAAAAGGAGAAAAAGAATAACATATAATAATAAAGGGATCCATTCAGCAAGAGAATATAACAATTTAAAATGTATATGCACCAAATGCTGGAGCACCCAGATACATAAAGCAAATATTAGGTCTAAAGTGAAACAATAAAATGATATTTGGGGATTTTAACATTTCACTGTCAGCATTGGAGAGATTATCTGAACAGAAAATTAACAAAGAACACAGGATTTAAACTGCCTATAGACCAAATGAACCTAGGCATTTACAGAACTTTTTGCCCAAGAGCTGCAGAGAACACATTTTTTTTTTTAAATCAACACATGCGATATTTTCCAGGATTAATCATATGTTAGAAAACATAACAAGTCTCAAAAAAATTTATAAATGAAAATGACATTAAGTATCTTCTCACACCACATGGAATAAAATCAGAAGTCAATAATCAAGGAAACTTTGGAAACTGTACAAATACACAAAAATTA